GGCACGGAACTTGAACCTTCCTCGAGCCTTGCAGCATATTTAACCTTCGCTTTACCAAGAAGTGTCTCCCTTTCAACCGTTTTTGTGCATGTTCCGAACGCGAGATGCTTTTCTAGAGAAGAGTGCCGTTGGAAACTGTGCGTGCAGCCCTCTTTTGGACATGGAAACACTTGATCTCTAGTACAGTCTTTCAATTTGACAAAGTCAGCCATGTTTGGATTTTCAGAACCTGCACCATAAGCCCCTCCAAGAAGAGAAGCAAAGCTACAGAATGACATCGTTTTCTGTCTATGCTCTATGAAAAACCTCGCACGTGTTTACCTTTAAGAAAAAGACCGTGATTGCACGGACTGCAACACGGTAGAATTGCTACCGTGACATAAGTCCTTTTTATCAAGTTTTATGACAGAAATTTGGCCATTTTTCCGAAAAAGATAAGAGTAAATAGCATAAAAAATAGTTGGGCTGTTATCTTGAGGTGAAAAACTTCACAGCAGAAGCTTGCGGTGTTGCGTGACTTTGTTTACTCACATAACTTTTTCCAAGATATCCAAGATATTTCAAAAGAAATATTATCGCAGTTGCAGAAAACATAACTATTCAACTAAGAACGATATCGATAATAAACCACTTGTCAACAAAAATGGTGAACTATAAAGCGGCCCTTATCTATAGTTAGGTGTAGGTAGTGCTGTTGAAATAGCGAGTCGACAATAACAATCTCTGCAATTCAAATTAACAGAAAATTTCGTATCTACACATCAATTTACAGCCCTCTTCTGCAATGTCTGCAGATTTTTATTCTTTTATTTCAAATCATTTCCATATCAAAGAGTTTTTAACCATCTTTAACTAACTTGTTTACTTCGTAGCTCTCAAGTACGATTTCTACAATTGATTTGCATCATCCAAATTCTTGACCTTGGCCACAGTGCGTTGCAAACTATATTATTTTCATATAAGGACCAAACTTTGTGCCAGCATGTAGTTTGGTAAGATTTCTCACATGCCAAGACGCGTTTTGAAGGCTTGAAGTTGCTCGATTTTTCGCTTTTTGCAACAACCGTTTGACAGCACTTTGTTAAAAAATCATGTGAATTTTAAAATTAAACCAAAGCTCCTTAAAATGCCACAAATAAAAATCAAATTAATTATACTTTGAAGTAAAAACACCCCCGATTTCTTACCAAACATCCTCCTTCAGTACTCGCACACTAAAGTTGGTCAATTTTACTGTATTTTTTGCATAATTAATTAGTTAGAAACCCAAATTTTTGTTTTTCCCCATTTTCTCGGAAACATTTGATTTTTCAAACTTCGAAATATTTTTTTTGAATACATCTCCCTAAAAGGGTTTTCCAGGCAAATTATCAGAATTTTCGATTTTTTTAGCCTGGCCAGCGATTCTCGATATTTACAGTCATGGGCTTTTAAGTTATACCGTGTATAGGCCGCACCCTCATTTTGCACAAAATTTATTTGGAAAAAAGTGCAGCCTATACACGTGCGAATACGGTACTGATTCTCATTCGGCTAGAAGAACAAAGATTGAAACCAATTTCTCAATGAATGAACAAAATAGCACCGAAAACCCAAACAGAAATTGAAAAGAACACTTACGAAAACAAGTGACATTGAAGACAAAGGCACAAACTTGAACGTGCCACTGAAGAATACTTACTTCAACTTGGACGGAGAAAACGCGAACCTTGTGGTCAGAAGTGGTCCACCACTGCGGTAGTAATGTGCTAATCTACGGAAATTTTCTAAATTAAGTTCGCCTGTAAGTAAGATTGATTTATTGGCGAGCAGTAAAGAGATTGGTCCTTTTAATATCAAACCCCCTATCGTGCAGAATGCCGCGACATATCCGGGACTTTTTAAGACTGACCAGCAGTAAATTTGAAACTGAATTGGCGAAACGCGCGCCACGCAATAGAGAAAATGGCCTGAAAATCACAAGAGGGGTGCATGTTTTTCTGATTTTCACTAAAAAAAGAAAAACTTTTAATAAACCACTTTTAACATATTGATTTTGAAGAGGAGAGATTATAGAAGCCTCCTATACCTTTACTGTTGCTTTAGGACGTCTAAAAGACATATCAAAACGGGTATTAAAACCCGCTTTTTTACACGTTTGCCTGCATGGGAAAAAGCCCTTTGCTTACTTATGGACGTAATTTTGTGAAAGGGAAAAACTCTTTTGCTGTTTTACCATACGGTTATTTTAACTTGATTGTTAGGAAAACCTTATAAATAAATTTTCGGAGATTGCATAGAATGGAAGTCATACCAAATCGTGATTTTCTGGAAATGTCACTTATTGCCTCGGCTTCTCTGCTAAATTTGTCTTCCACGGGCTCCGGTGGGACCCTTCTCCAAAACTCCCGCGGGTATGTTAATTTTCTCCAGCTCCGCCTCCTCTAACAATGTGGCACATGATCCGCGGTGATTAGTGCTGAAGTTGATCAAGAGGTGCTAAAAGAAACGGTCACAAAAACTTTACAAAAAGGAATTAACGACAGGTTTTTTAAGGTAAAATTATGAATAAAACATCGAAAGTAACAAATACCGCGTAAATAGTGCTTGACAATTATGCAAAAAAAAGAGCATAAAAAAGCTACAGTTTACAATTGCGTAAATTGTAAGGCCTAAGTGTCCGAAACTGCCTTCTCATTGGTTTTTTTTGTGACTATTATGTGCGCATAATTAAATAACTTTCCAAAACTACAGCCTTGTTCTCATTTATGAGAAACTTTTCTCCCTGACGCCAATAATCGAGATGTGTTCCGTCCAAGAAATGCAGCAGGTCGATCGAGAGCTGTCTTTAAAGCTCACAGAATTCCTGACCAATCCTGCCTTGCTTCGTCTTTGTTTACCCTTGATCGAAGGCTCTGATCCACTCTCTTGTCCCCAAATGAATGGAGAGGTCCTATGGCAAGTTAGAGACTTTCGCACTCTTCACGAAATCTTCAGAAACCTGCACGTTAGTTTGGTGAAGCTAGGGTATAAGCTGGCATCATCTTGTGGTCATCGAGTTGGACTGACGGTCTACAGAAGAGTTAAACATCTAATGGGTAAGTCGAGAGCCATGACCAACAATGAAAGCCGCAAAGCCATGCGATCGTCGTATTGGTGTAAAGTTAGTCTTCGTCCAGATGAAATCATCTAGGTGCCCGGCGACGCCATTCAGCACCAAGAAAAGAAAGATGAAGAACTGACCATCAAAAACAAACGATTATAATTTGAACTTGACGATAAGAAAGCATTTTGTAGTTGCTGCTTTTTTAACACCTGTTTATTAGCAAAAAAGCTTTTACGGTGGCCATTTTACATTATCCCGGCAACTGAGTTGATAAAACCAAAGTTATCTTGTTATCCTCCCAACCAGCGCAGTATCATAGTTTCTTTAACCTTTCAAACCGTTTTGAATTTTTAGGTAAAGCAGCGAAGCTTTACGAGGCAATGTTCAGCATTAAAAAAAAGAAAAAAAACAAAAAACAGGATGGTCATCGAGGCAAGAAGATTTATAATGTACGGAAGCGACAACAACAGAGGCATTTTAAGGAAATTAGGTAAGGATTAAACTAAACATGAGCATAATATAAACACAAATTCCATCCAACATTTAATGGCAACATATTGTGAACACGAAAAGGAGCATCATGATAATTTATGATATACTTTTTGTTTGCAACAGTAATTAAAAACTATGTTCGCATTATACATTGCAGAGAAAAAGTTCCAAAGGCACTCTGGTTATCAGAGAACTACGGTCTTACACTTCAGACAGTTAGTATGGAGGATCAGAGTGGGAAAGCATTTATTGACAGTTTTTGGTAAAGGTAAAATCAAGTCACAGTTGTTCCTCTTCTTCCTGTACAAGTTCAAACAGAAAGTTAACAGCACTTAATCAAGAATCTTCTGAAAGAACTAGTAAGCCTCGTAAACTTGTCGTTATACCAAAAATCCTGGATTTGGCTGTTCTAAGAAGCGAATGATGAACTCTTTGTTATACCTTTACATTAGGAAACAACAATGTTTTCCACTTCAGGCTAAGAATAACTTAAGTGAAATCGACATATCCCAGCCAACGCCTTGATCTTCCCTCTCTCTCCCATTGTTTTCTCTTGATGATAGTGAAAATGACCGGGTCTTTCCTGTCTTTCATTAACTTTGGATATAATTCTTGCCATTGTTCATCGATCAGATGCCATTACCCCAGTAATCTAGTTGCTGATGGCGGGCTAATCATAAAGAGAAGATTTTCAGTATAAAACTAGAAATTGAATGTAGTACAGCTCGCAAGACAAGTTTAGGTATGGGTGTCCGTTTAGTTTAGTTTGCCCCTAATCGATTGGCTTACCTGTATATAAACATAAATCACTAATTTAAAATACACGTCTACTAGTATATGAAGGATCGTTTAAATCATTGTGCATTATTGTTTGCTAAAAGTATTTTCAAAAAGTTAAAGCTAACCAACAACGTTTTCAGTACGACGTCGACCTGAAATGATGACGTAAATCAGTCTGTTTCAAGCTGCTACAGCGTGTGTGGTCGCTAATTCTATCATTCTTTGAAGATCTAATGATGCAAGATATAGTGCTTCATTACATGCGCTTTGTTTGATGGGAAAATGTTGTTATAGATCTCAAATATGACTAATTAATATTCATAGAAATAGGACTAGAGAGGCATGTCCGGATAATTAGAGAATTTGGATAATCGAGGTTCGCCTGTATTAGTATAGGTAATCACATGATTTCGAGTGCAATTTGGAATAAATAAGCATGAGCAAATTTTTTTAAAGACTAACAAAATTGCACGAGCCCGTAGGGCGAGTGCAATTTGTGGTCTTTGAAAAAAATTAACAAGTGCTTGTTTATTCCAAATTGCACGAGAAAAATCATGTGATCACGTGTTAATAATATACATGGAAAAATACGAGATGGCTTATCATAATTAAACATAAGCAAAGCGCGCGCATTTAATTTATAAATTTATTCAAACCGTGCGTTCGGTCAAAACAACCCTAACCCTAAGCAACCGCGTAGGATCAAAACAATAATAGGCAATGATATCTTCACATCTTTAAGGTGCAAGAGAGTTCAAAGTCCGACTAAACAGTTCAAGGAATAGTTCAGTCTGTGTCTGAAGCACTTTCGATGAAATGGAATCGTCGTTTTCGAGGTTTAACTATGACTGTTTTTAATTTCGGCGTTGGATCGCTCGAGCAAAGTTTTCCCTTCTCTAAACACTACTTTTTCCAAACTGACAACCAAAGAGCAGTGCTTTTTATAGTGTTTTCGTTGTTTAAGCTGTTTCTCAGCTGCGGTGGCGAAAGAAAACCTACTTAAAACGCCGGCCATTGTTTCGCTCGCAAATTTTCAAATTTTGTTGCGACATCCAAGGCTCGCATTTGATTGGCTATCTGTGAGTTTCTTTGATTATTGACCAATCAGAATGTCTGATTTCTTTCTTTCTTTGCACTGAATTAACCCTCTTTTGCACTGAATTAACTCTCTTCTGCACTGAATTACCTGAAAACTGCATTTATCTTAACCAATCAGAACTGAGGATAAAACACACAAGGTTCTGCTCATGATCAATAACATGAAAATATTTCATATAGGTGCTAGTAGTTAGACCGTGCAACAGATCGTGAGTGGAACTAAATCCAAACAGTTTAAAGGAAATGTCAGTTGGTCCGATTAAATGTGTAAAAGTAGGAATGGAACTTTTTAACTAGTTTCCTTTTAGATTTTCCTTAATTTAGGATTTTAGTATCTACCTAGTAAGTTTTTTTTTCATATAGGCCTCGTTGGTGTAAGGAAACACGTATTTACCCACAAAATTCTACTCAAACCGAGATGCAGTTGTAAGTAAGTTTTCCGACACAGATAGGCAAACAGAGGTAACTTAAAAAAAGGGCTTATTGAAGATATTATCAACTAAGATTATAGAAGTTTTGATTATTGATCCATACCGTAAAGACCATCGGGGTTTCACTTTCAGAAACATAACAAAAGCAAAAAAATATTGGGAGAAATTAAGAAACAGAAAATTGATTAAAACTTAAACAGCAGGTAAGCGGTAAAGCTTGTGGCCAAATAATTTAATTTGGGAAGGGCCTGGCAACAACCAACCCAAAACACTATTTTACTTATAACATCTGCGAGAGCTAATGTCATGATGAACAACGTTAAGTTGATTTAAGAGTGTGCAGCGACTGTTAGCTGACAGCAGTACGATGTCACATCCAGAGACTAGTTCTCGTCCTTGGAAATTCATGAAAGCAGTCCCATGTCGGTGTAAAGAAGAATACAAGAGCTATTTTTCAGTCCATTTATGTGGAAGCGTAAGAACTAAACTTGCCGTAATCTGTAAAATCTTTCCGTCCGACTGCCATTTAGGCTTGGAAGTCCACTACTTTAGCTAAAATCTTAAAACATTTGCACAAATCGTTCTGGCCAGTTAGGCTGATAAACTTACAAATCAAACAAACTCTGAGTGCAACTGCCAGTTAGGCTTGGAAGTCCACTTCTTTGGACCAAAATCTCCCACACACAGATGTGCACAAATTATCCAAGCCAGTGAGGTTGATAAACCAAAGTACAAGAGTATTTAGAAAGACTAAGTCAGAGTGAACACTGACGCACGAAACAAAAACGTTGGAATCGTCTGGTTAACGGAGCTAAGCAACCGCTTACAATGGAAGAACGATTAGAGCGTAGGCCAGAAAAATAGGTAAGAAATGTGGGTGGGAGCCAAGGTTCTAGCTCTAGAAACTGTTAGCCCATCCTACGGAAGCTTCACAAAGTCTAAACTAGACGATAGTGAAGTAAAAATTAACCAAAAAAAAAAATGATAGAAATTAAAATGAGCTCTGAAATATTTGATTCAGAAGAGTTGATGACTCATGATAGCGTGCTATACCCCTTCCTATATACCTCTCGTTAACTGCACATAATACAGCGGGCTAAGACCTACGCCCTGCAGTGTCCTGACAAAATATTTATTTCGGCCTTCTTACAAGCTCATTCGTCAGAAAAAGAATTTTACTTCCATTGACAATTTATTATTCCCTAGGGATAAAATTAATCTTGAAAGTCAGCCGATGCCTCTCCAGAAGGCCTTTGTATATTCTTATCTAATTGATGATCGACAGCATCGTTGTGTTGGGAAACTTGTGAATGCAGGACCTCTACAGGAGTCTGAGGAAACAGATACCATTAGTTTCAATTCATAAGAATGCTGTCTAAGTAAAGAATCTTTCAACGTAAAATAAAGATAGATCGCAAAACAACGTCTATACATAAGATACAATTTCTATCACGGTATATTTTAGTGCACTATCTTTCTTACTGAAGTTCCATTTTGAACTGAGAAGCAAATAATGTCTAACCTGTTGAGCTTGATGTATTTTTCCATCACCTCCAATAATCTGTCAAGTTTTTGTTCTTGTTGTTCAATTTTGTTGGCAAGTACGTCTATTTTGTTGGCAAGCTGATCAAATTTGTCAGCTACTAGGTCGATTTTCTCCTCATCTACAAATGGAACAGGTTCAGCCGTTATTGTTTTGAAATATCTACTTGGAAAAGGCTTTAATGAACAGCTGATAGGATTTAGTTCGGCCAGTATATCTTGCAATTGTCAGGAAAACGGACACCCTGAAGCGGATTCATATGCTGTGGTGATGTTTACTATAGTTGGCGTTTCTCAGATTCATTTCACTCCTGGCAAATACGCACTCTTAACTTTAGATTCATTTGAGGCTATATTTGGATGCTTTTCTACATTTTTTATGCAAGATAAGCATAAGGATACCGCTCACCCACTAATTTAATTAACGCTAGATTTCAGTACGACATCTACGGTTTTATCTTCGATAGAAACCTCCTATCGAGGTTTGGAAAACAAATAATACATAAATAAAAACAAATTGAAACAACCAAAGAAGAGAGAGCCAACAGAGAAATAAAAAATAAGTTTCTCTTAATTAGTTGAGAATTAGATGTTCTAACAGTTTAAGCCATCATGCAAGTTCTTCGTATCATCAAGGATAGCAAGTTCTAAAAGGTCACTCAAAAAATAAACTCTGCTCACTTATCAGGAAGCAGATATTATATTTCACATACTTGACAGTGGAAATGAGCCTCCATGTTTATCCAGGTATCGCCTTGTGAGTGCAGGAAAGAGCTCCAATCTGCAGCGCTCTTCATGCCTTCGTTGACGTTCTTTAACTCTCTGAGGTTAGAATTTCTATCATTAGTATTCAGAATTAAACTAATTTAAGTCAAGCTACGCAACTAAAGATAAAACTTAAAGGCAGAAGATTGGACTGCAGACATTCTTGGAAATAGGAGAGCCTTATTTGGGATGAGAATGTAAACGCCGCAGCTTAGTTTACCTTACAGACAGTAACTCACAACTTCTCGAACAAATTTGACAAATTTCCGGAAAAGGTTACGTATTATACCTGGCACTGTAATGGACTTAATACTTGTTAAACTCCAGCTGATATAATCAGTCCGGGCCATAGACCTTATAGATAGTTTTGTCTGTACAATAACGTCATGCAACCTATGGTGCCACGGTCCAATTTTCAAACTTTAAGCTAGGCCGCACGGCCGTTGTTGCTGTGACTTGTTTTCCTGGACCGTCATGGTGTCATGGCTTCTGCCAGCTATCGATCTTCACAGTACTCCTTAGGTCCTTTTGTTTTATGTATTAGTTCGTGGATGATCATATCTCCTTCCTGAGAACAGTCTGTCGACTTTACGACAAAGGACTGTCAAAAGCTTATTAAAAAATGAGCTTTCGGTTCAATTCATAATAACATCGACTAGGACCCTGAGGAAACTCATCCCAAATAGATCCTCTTGGCATGTAAACGAATGCTTTATCGAGTCTGAAAAAACTCAGATAAACAAATCATTATTTCAACCTGAAACGATCCCTTTCTGTGGACAAGATTGCCCTTGTATGAAAATAACTAGAGGGCGCCCTCCAAATCAAGCAAACAAACAATCGGCGACTTAAGATGTCGGAGTGTGTTCCCTAAAGTTCTCGCAGAACTGATTCAATTACGAGAAATTCCCCTAACATTAATGTGGAAATTGCAGATTTGATTGAAGAAAATATGTTATTTCACCGGTCGCTACCTTCCACAAAGTGTCTTTTAAACATCTCACCAGAAACGAATAGAATTTGATAACAAAACACTGCGAGCAAAATACTTGTACGTGCGAGAGATGACACTTCGGTAGATAATTGAATGTGTAATAAAGTATTACAGAAATTTGTCAAAACTATAAAAAAATCTCGAACGTGATTGGTTATCACCATCCCGATTTGAGCATTAATAGGACAGTGTACGCGTCATGCCTGCAATTGGACAGTGTAATAGGAAAGTTAAAGGGACATGTCATGCTTGTGTTAGTAGACAGAACACGTCATGTGCGCACGCTGCTGTCTCGCATTTTGACGAGTTAACTGTTGTTTGTTTTCGTTTATGAAAACGTATCACGATGGTTGGTTGTTATGTAAATTCCTCCCGTTGTTATCTTAGGGGTCACGTGAAGACGCGTTCATAAACTGATGTCTAGTTTCTTTCTCAAATTTTGTCGTAGTTTGATTAATTGGTAACAGGACTTCCTCTCGTCCAATTCTGTCTGGTATCATACTCATGATTTAAAAATCGGACCACTACCTCGCGGTCGTCCGATTTCGTCAATCGTTCGTATGATTACAGACCTTATCAATAAAGGGCAAAATTACTGAGCGCTGATTGGTTGAGAGAGAGGGCATTTTTTCTTAATCGAGGGCACTTTTAGTAATATAGAGAGGGCATGATTACCTGTTAATGATTGGCTAATCCGTTGCATAATTTTGCCCTTTATTGATAAACAAGTAATCCCATGAGACCTCGTACTATTAAGGATTAATTGCACTTGAGTTTTCAAAATTTTCCAAATGGCCCTCGTCGCTTCGCGACTCGGGCAATTTTGGAAAATTTTGAAAACTCAAGTGCAATTAATCCTTAATAGTACTTGGCCTCATGTGATTACCTATACGAATTAGACTCTACTCGGTCATATTGCCAATATAAATATGTCAGTAATGTCTCCCTTGAAATTTTCCATTCTGTTCTGCTGTCTACTATGCAATATAACATAGCCGCCACGAGAAATCTAACAATAAAAAGTATCCTCCCAATTCTCTCTTTCTGCCATATCGGTTTGTTTTGGTTTTGTCTAGACCAATCGTATTACGGGAAGTGGTATGGACAAACTGTCTATGGCCCAGACTGATAATAGGCTAATACCTTTAATGGTATACCATTTTCATGTCTGAATACCAAAAAATTTTGTTTTTTTTTCTCCTTTAAGAGAGTGATTCAAGAAATTCAAAAGTTTAACCATCATAACATCAATCAAACCTTTGCTCGGTTGTCTCCATACTTTTTGGTGTAGAGGAAAGACATTGGTAAGGAAATGATATTGAACGGAACAACAATGGGATGATATCTTCTATATTCTTCTGCTACCACCGCGCGAAAAAATTTCCACTCTAGGTCTGCATTAGTCTGAAAATAAGGAAAGTTGCGTTGTGAATTTGAACAGTGATAAGGATACAAAGTCATCCTGAAGTGAGTTGTTTTATTTCATTTATCTTTGATTAGCAGTGAGATTTTCCATTCAAATCCAAGCACGTAATGAAGGTTACATGCATTGGATGGTGTTAAGCATGTCTTTATTGAATATTTCTGGCCGGATAGCTTGGTACCTTAGCTCTCTTTTCTATGGATGTAGTTTGGCATTCAAACCACTGGGAATATATAAATGCATTTCAAAAGCAAGCTTTCGTTTGAAATTAGTTACAACACAGGTTTAAACTGAAATCGATTTTTAGACGGACTGCTTCATTGCAAGCTGAAATAGGTGGGTGGGAGGCGGATGCAAGGACAGAGATTTTTTACCTCGACCTTGTTGTAAGTATTTGTGAGCAAGGCAATCAGGATGTTGACCAGCATAACCACTGAGATGATTAAGAAGGAAACGAACAGGATACCGACAACATAATCGGACCCATCGTCGTTAGTCTCCATCGTGTCCAATTCGGTTAGACCAAATACAGACCAAATAAGATATTTAGACGTCTGGAGTAAACTGCAAGATAAGGGAAGTATGATACAATCTCCTCCGTATATAAGTTAAAGAATTTCTTAAAATTACACGTGCAGCATTTGATTGGAAACTAGTTATACAGACACTCGAAGAGCTTTTCCTGGGATCGCAAAATTCTCTGCTCGCTGGCGTCGTTAGCTATGCATGCGAATTAGGTTTCGTTGTTCAACCTAGTGCACCCGGCAGACGTATTAATGTCGTTGAGTTGTTGTCGCCATTAAACCGTTGCAGTTCGCTAGTAGTTAGTCGCGTTGCCTTCATTACCGGCGCTTGTATTAACATAAATTGGCCAAGAAATCTTCTTGGCAAAGTTTATCATCTCTGTATAGATAAGAAAAGATAGTGAACAGTCAAAAGTAATGAATAGTCAGTGAATTTTTCCATAAAAGTGGTACATATTCAAATCGAGATTGAGGCAACCCGATAGACCTTACTTACCAGGCTGATTTTCCTTTCGTGCAAAACCTGAAAATGAAAACTTGTCTTAGTATAAGTAACAGTTTAGAAAGCGTATTAACACTGGTATACCGAATTACTAAGAAATGTATATCTTTTTTTTAACTTTCGGTTTGTTTCAGAAAATGGGCAAACACAAAAGCATAAACTTTCATGAAAAGGGAAAGAAACTCCTTAGGTCTACTTGGTACATGCTGATAAAAACTTATCCTACAGTAGGAAACTCGTTCTACAGACCCTCCTGTTCGACCGGTTTCGTTGAGTTCTTCAAGCCGACCCGTCTCGTTTGATTCCCTTTGGTGTGCTGGCGTCAGAAAGGAAATCTCAGCGACGTATACCTTCGTGATAGCCGCAGAAAAAGCCATAATAACGAAAGAGAACTGCGTCAAAATGATCAGTAAGTCGATACACATTCGGAACAGAGCAAGCTGAAGAGGTCCAACTGTTTTGTTCACCTCCAGAATGCTCGAGAACCTTAGAGTCAGAAGAAGAGTACTGATGCCATATAGGATGTTGACCACTTGTAATAATCGACTCTGATATGGGTCTGTTTCGTTTAAAGTAAAGCATCGAAGAACAAGCATCATAAAGAACAAACCCAGGATTACCATATCAACGTAATTCCACATATTTCTGCAGAGGAAGAAGTAAGTAAATTTATCTACATATTTGACATGAAGTCCTAGGTGAGCATCTCAAAACTCTCTTCTGATGGTATTTATGTCAGTCAAAGAGATAATCGCTGCAAATATGAGAGCAAAAAAACACTGCCTATCGACAGTAAGAAATTTCGGACCAACTTCTACTCCGTTAACCTCAGCAGTGAAAAATGATCAAACAGACGAATGTCACTCTTTAAAAAACAGCAGACCAGCCAAATCGTTAGCCTGATGTAAGGCGAGCTATGGGGGAGGGGGAAGATTTCCATTAATAACAAATATAATTGCTTTTAGGACCAACAGACACTGAGCGTCTAAAAGACTGTCCCGGTCATCTTACTAACCGTAGGTAAACTCGAACTCGTTTTTCTTTAGCGCTTTTAGAACTCCGGTACTGTTGATATTCAGACAACATGAAGCCTATGTAGAATATCAGTGTTAGCCATTCCTCGGTTCTCACGGAGACGGACGAGGCAAGAACACATAATCTAAAGTGTAGCCCTAAGTGGACAACTTGACTGAGTCGGTCCTTTATAGAAATTACGAACGGTGTTCTCAAGTAATTCAAGTACAGATCTGAAAGAGAAAAAAAAGATAGCACATAAAGCGTTTCCTGTAGTGATTGTACGTGACAAAGGCGAGTGATCACAAAAAAATAATTTACAAGAAAGTCTCAATTCTTCTTTTTACATTATAAATAGAAATGAATTAGTTCATAAGATCTTTTGTGAAAGTGATAAAGCTATTTATAATATCGTAACTGTGTTAGCATGAAATATCTATTTTAAGCTTGGACCCAGGTGATATGAACAGTTTCCTTAGGTATTACCCGAAAAGCAAAGAAAGAAATCTCGAAATGTAGATTATTAGATGAATGGGAGTCCATATCATTTCTGGTATTATGCATACACATGTGTTTAAAGGCTAAAGACTATGGAATAAGTCGAAAAGAATAGGTGTGGATATAAAAGTATATGGCTACTTGTGCGGTAAACAGTAGTCGTGACGAACTCCCTCCGGCCTTAGGTAAGACCCTGAGTTTGCAAAGCTGCTTGTCCTTAAAAAAGACTTTTAAATTACTTAGGTAGTAGTTAATCTTTGATCTTCTTAAGTATGGTAATCTGATACAGGCCGGTATTCTGGTATTTATGGACTTATCTTGTTTGGAGATTTCAGTTATTTTCTATTTAAAAAAGAGCCGTGAAGTAGAAGTTCTCTTTTACAGTCACCAAACTATATGTGTGCCAAGGCCCTAGAGTAGGCCTTCCGAAGTTGCGCAAGTGTCCATACCTCTGAGCATTTTTCTCTCCAGACATGTCTGATCCTTGTAGGAAAAATAGGCAATGAGGGGAAGTAAAATGGGAGTCAAAATCGTCTCCAGTATAGTGAATGAAATCACCGTCAATCTCGCCTTCATTCCTTGTCGATATTTGGATGGCAAACCCCGCTTCCATCTAATTTTAAACAGTCTGTACACCAGTCGATGAGAAATAAACTGAAAATAATTAGATGTGAGGGAATTGGTAAGGTATACGTTAGATTAATGCCAAGACGTCATGGGGTATGTTGAGGCCGCCATCCGTATCCACCATCCCCTGCCTACTCTCTTGGATTGGAATAGTCAGCTAACTTCGCATTTACGGCAGAAGATCACCCCGCCCAGACTAATATCCTGCCCCTTAGATGACTCGTCGGTCTTGTTCGTCCTTTGATGGACTAACAGCGAGCTCAAGTAATATCCCGAGCGGCTGAGAAGAGTGTATGGGCTAGTGTACTGACTAATTTTTACATTGCAAAGCTAGAAAAAATGGTGTGCGGTCATTCCTTACCCGTGGTCGTTTCGTACCCAGTCGTTTTGTATCCAAATGTAGTCGATTCGTACCCAAGGTTGAGTCGTTTCGTATCCAAGTTTGAGCCGTTCCGTACCCAAACCGCTGATTGATTCTTAACCGTCCCATAGTGATATAAATTTATTCGAATTATCTAACGTGCGAGCGCGTGAACAGATGTCAGTTGTTGCGTACGACAGGTACCACAGGACAACATGTCTGGATAAATGAAATACTTTCAGGAGAATTAACTATGTGACTAGTCCTGCTGGCTTATCTGAAGTTTTCAGTTTATCAGTTATTCCCCTTTGATACAAGAATTACTGACACAAGCAACGACAAACGGAAATGTCGAAGAATAAGTGCAACAATAATCATCACATTGATTGCCGGATACAATAACAATAAAAATCACACTGAGGATAATGATAACAGACAATAATAACAGGAACTTCACTCACCTTCTTCTGTTGGTAGTCAATTGCTGGCTGAGTTATACTATCAAGTAAAGATGCATTGTTAACAATGGATTTTTCCTCTGTTGGGGTTACTTGGTCCATCAACGCAACGGAGAAGTCTTGAACCTTTACTGCCAAATTGTTGAGGATTTCCGCGTTCTCATCTCGTTCTTGGGCAACTTTCTTGAGCTTTGCATTACACTATTGTTAAGATGGCAAAAAAAAACTATTTAAAAGTTTAATCTTTTTAAATTTGAATCCTTGCAATTGAACTTGAAGTAGTGATCGTTAGAGATGCTCCTCTGTTTTAATTGGAAGCGTAATTGCCACTGACCTATTAAATCTGGTCTTACAACACTCTGTATATAGACCGCTCTATCATTTGTTATCCCCAGTCCTCTGTTACCTAGTATTAATTAGTTGGATTCCTAGTGGAAACACCTTTTCGCAAGCAGTTCCAGAAACGGACAACGTCTTCACAGCGTTAAGGACTTTCCGCTTTATATCAGTTATTTTATAATAAAGTTCGGATGTAACGCGCGCTGTCATTGGTTGAAAGAGCGTGCTCTATGAGAGTATAGAGCATAGAGCTGAAGTAAGGCTGTCACGTTATCTGCCAAATTGTAGTATGTCCGGCTTTCTCCAGGACTTTTCCCTAGTTATTTTTCTGTCATTGAAAGTGAAATTTCCGAACAGGCAAGTCGGCAAATAGCAACAGAAGAACCAAACAAAGGTTTGTAAAAATGCCAGGCGATGAATTGACGTTATTATAACGTGAGCAGAAACGAGAATCCTCAAAGAGTAAACGAAATGGACAGTCGGAGTTTTGAAGGTTTTCACACTCGGTTAGATTGCAAGCTTACTTAGGGTAATAAAAATCAAAGGCAGCTAACACTCGTGTAGTATGTAAAGTTTCGTGTTCAAAAACAAAACAGAACAAAATAGGAATGATAAAAAATATAGCCAAACTAGCGTAACTGTTAAAACTCATACTAATCATAACGGTGTCGTGTTGAGATCCAATGCGGCTAGCTGATCATGGCGATCTCCGGTCATCACATTCAATTAAGCGTCAGAAATTACATCGGCCGCCCTTCGAGAGTACAACTAAGAGCTTGCTCTGATATCCTTTCCGAGGCGTTGAGTGGAAGGCCACATAAGACACTGATGCCGAGTTTTACGGCGCTGTCATCCCAAGCAATCTTCATATTCCGGTAAATTCGGCTGTCGTTCATTCATTAAACACACGCTTGAATAGTTTGTTTTCTAATTGTTATCCGTAAAAAACTTGCGTGTTTTTATGAGCCACAATTCGGCCGGATTTCACCTAACATTTCACTTTCAGATTCTGTATTAGAGACTAAAAGGCTCCAGGAGAAAGAGTTAAATTCGACCTGCTATACTATTAAGTTTGTAAACTATTGTGGAATGTGAACTGTGATGGTTTTTTAACTTTGATGCTCTAACATTTTTGACAGCTTCAATCTTGTACAGCCAAGTAGATTGTTTGAGCCATTCTAACAGGAATTCTGATTGGCTCATTGTAACGTGCTTTATAAGAGTATAGAGCATGCTGACGACACTGTTGTTCACTTTAGAATAAAGTTTGTGTGGAAAATTGAAAGTAATGCGTGGAGAATTTAACAGATTCTTTACTATAAAACAAACAGAGAAACCTTGACTGTGCTCTGTTCTATTGTAAAGCACTTAGGAAGCGGCTAAAGCACTCAAGAAGTGGGGAGAAACACGAGACGTGGTTGAGTGTTTCTCCCCACACTTCTTTCGTGCTCTAATCGCTTCTTGCGTGCTTTACAACAGAACAGGGCAGAGACAAGGCTTCTCTATTTGTTAAATAAGTCGCCGAATATCCACTGAA